GCGTTATTATTATTAGCACTAGTGTGGCTACCCCATATCTGATTGCCCATATGGTCAGCAGTAAACTCTATCCCAGCACTGGCCCATTTCCAGTGGGTGCTAGAACGGTTAGTTTTGTCAACATGATGTAATCTACAGTCATCTGAAAATGAAGTCTTTTGTTTGTTTGTTTGTTTTTGTTTTTATAGACAGGGTTTCTCTTTGTAGGTCTGCTTGCCTTGGAATTCGTTCTATAAACCAGGCTGACATCAAACTCACAGAGATCTATCTACCTGCTTTTGCCTCCTGAGTACTGGGATTAAAGGCATTTACCATGGCAGGGCTGGGGAGTCCCTAATTTGATCTATGGGCATGTGATGGGTAATGTTTTAGAGATACTATTTGCAATGATGAAACATGATCAGAAGAGAAGAAAAGGCTTATTGGCTTATAGTTCCACATCATGGTTCATCATTGAAAGAAGTCAGGAAAGGAACTCAAACAAGGTAGGAACCTGGAGGCAAGTGCTTATACAGAGGCCATGGAGGGGGTGCTTATCATGGCTTGCTTAGGCTGGTTTATTATAGAATATAGGTTCAGCAGCCCAAAGATAGCAGCACTCACAATGGACTGGGACCTCCTCTATCGATCACTGATTAAGAAAATGCCCTAGGGCTGGAGAGATGGTTCAGAGGTTAAGAGCTGCTCTTCCAGGGGTCCTGAGTTCAATTCCCAGCAACCACGTGGTGGATCACAACTATCTGTAATGGTGCCCTCTTCTGGTGTGTCTGAAGACAGCTACAGTGCACCCATAAAATACAATAAATAAATCTTTTAAAAAAGAAAAGACCCTAAACAGTATCATATGGAGGCATTTTCTCAACTGAGGGTCTCTCAGATGATTCTAGCCTGTGTCAAGGTGACATAAAACTATTCAGCAGAGATGGGAAGGCTACCCACTGTGTTAAGCAGCCCATGGATGGGATCGTGGACTGTGTAGATGTAGAAAAGGAACTGAGCAGAAGGGTGCGTTCATTGCTTCTGCTTCTTGACTGTGAATGGAATGTGACTAGTTCTCTCAGATGCCTTCCACTAGGACTTCCCTGCTGAGACTGACTATAACCTGGAACTGTGAACCGGATGATTGCTTCTGTCAGGGAATCCCAGCAACAGGGAGTAGAACTAAGATGGAAATTGGTGTCAGAAGCAGAGGTACTGCTTCTCCACATGTACTGAACATGTGGCTTTTAGGCCTTTGAAATTGTTTTGTGGAAAGGGTGTCGAAGAAGATGGAACTTTAGGTTAGAAAATCCATTGAAAACTCTACGTAGAGATTAAGGGTCATTCTGGCGGGAGCTGAGAAGATAATAATGTTCAGGGAAACACAGTGGAGGAAGCCTGTCTCATGTGATTTCACAGGGGAACAAGGGCTGTGTCAGGACCTGTGCCAGGGGCCATTCTTATGTTGACCAAGCATCTGTTTTCATTCTGTCATGTCCAAAGAATTTGAGTGAAGCTCAATTTAAAGATAATGAATTAATTTCTTTGACAGAGGAAAAGTATGTAGGCGAGCTTAAAATTTCAGAGTGCAGACAACAAAGCAGCCATAACTGTTAAAGAGACTGAATGGAGTCACTAAAGAGAACCTGGCACTCTGCATGGTGACAACAGAAAATGATTTCTTCAGGGTCAGCACACAGAAGCTGATATCACTGTGACCCAAGAGAGCTAGGATATATACCTCAAGCTGGCAGCATCGCTTGACAGTACTGCCCATGTAGTACTGGTTTTGACGGCAAATATGCAAGACTGAGGAAGGCATGGAAGGCCGCTGAAGCCAGGCACCGTGTGTCAGGGTCAGAGTCCCTGAGTGGCCACCGTGTAGAGCTGGGAAGGTGAAACCAGAGCTGCAGTAGATACCCTAGGATTCTGGAGATGCCAGAATCATGGGGTATCTGCCAAGAATGGCTGCAGGTGTGGAGTGGAGCTGGCCCAAAAGTTAAGCTATGTAAGCTACAAGGAGCAGGGCTTGAAAAGTGGATCTACCCAAACTTTTCAGACCATAGCCAACTTTATTCCAAGCCCCAGATCCTAGATATAGAAAGAGTTTCAGGACTTGGTGTGTGCTCTGCTGAATTTTTGCTTTGCTTTGTTGTTTTGATCATTCCTTTCTATGCACTGATCCTTCCACTTTGAACTAGAAATGTTTATTGTGTATCAGTATATGATTCACCATCATCATTATTGTAGCTCACTGTTAAGACTTTCAACTTTTATTTTGTGGTTTTTCAAGACAGGGTTTCTCTGTGTAGCCTTGGCTGTCTTGGAACTCACTCTGAAGACTAGGCTAGCCTCAAACTTGGAGGTCTGCCTACCTTTGCCTCCCAAGTGCTGGGATTGACTTTGGACTTTGTTGGGATTATAAAAGTTGGATTGTGCCGGGCAGTGGTGGTGCACGCCTTTAATCCCAGCACTTGGGAGGCAGAGGCAGGCGGATTTCTGAGTTTAAGGCCAGCCTGGTTCCAGGACAGCCAGGGCTACACAGAGAAACCCTGTCTTGAAAAACCAAAAAATAAATAAATAAATAAATAAATAAATAAATAAATAAATAAAATAAAAGTTGGATTGTTATTTTATATTATGAACTAAACCTAAAATTTGGGGAAGAAGAAGTAAAAGCTTAAGGTTATTGCTTAAAGTGATGTTTATGTGTCAACTTTACAGAAACTAGATTCACTTGGAAAGGGAGTCTCAGTGAAGGATTGCCTAGGTCAGAGTGGACTGGGGACATACATGTGGGGTATTATCCTAATTAACTAAGATGGGAAGACTACCTACTATGGGTGGCAAGAGTTCCTGGACTATACATAGCAGAGAAAGAACTTGGAGTGAGCAAGTGAGCATACATTACTACATTATCCTGTGCTCTTCACTGTGGATGTCATGTGACAGCACTCTCACATTCCCGCTGCTATGACTTCCGTGCCGTGATGGACTGTGTCAGTTACTTTTCTATTGTGGTGAAGAGACACTGTGAACACTTAAACTCAGAAAAGAAAGCATTTGATTAGAGGCTTGTTTACAATTTCAGAGTGTGAATTCATGACCATTATGGTGGGGAGCATGGCAGCAGACAGGCAGGTGTTAGAGCAGTTGCCCAGAGCTTATATTTTGAAACAAATCAGAAAGAAGAACAGGGCCTGGCATGGGCTTTAGAAACTTCAAACCCTTTCCTAGTGACACACCTTCTACAATAAAAGTCCTAGGCCGGGCAGTGGTGGCACACGCCTTTAATCCCAGCACTTGGGAGGCAGAAGCAGGCAGATTTCTGAGTTTGAGGCCAGCCTGGTCTACAGAGTGAGTTCCAGGACAGCCAGGACTATACAGAGAAACCTTGTCTCGAAGAAAAAAAAAAAAAAAAAAAAAAACAATAAAAGTCCTCCTCATTCTTCCTAAACAGTACAGTTGGGAATCAAACATTCAAATATATGAGCTTATGGGGACCATTATTAAAACCACTACAGACTGTAACCTGAAGTGTGAGCCAAATAAATCCTCTTCTCCCTTAAGAAGAGGCTTTTGTATTTTTATCACAGTAACAAGAAACAAAACTAAGACAGGGACATAAATCCCCAAAGGGATCCACCGTGTCTCAGACTTGGCACCGGAACACTAGGTCTTCAAAGACCTCCCAGTAAAGGCAGACCTCCTAGCTTCCCAGTTTAAATGTGGGTTTGGCGGTCAGCCCTTGGGCAGTGCACATTATTTTTTGCTCATATTACAGCAGGGCTGAGAAGAGGGTTCAGTCATCCCCTAGGCAGTGACTACAGGGCACTATAGTGGCAGAAACACAGAGAAGCGAAGGATGATGGGAAAGAGAGCATGCCCCTGCATTATTATCAGGGTTCCTAGAGAGCTGAGGGCTTTCCCACAAGTGTTCCTGGGAAAGTGAAAGAGTAAATAAGGAAGGGGGAAATGGGAGATAAAACTTAGATTTTTACCCCCTGGATGAGTCACAGGGGCCGCCTGCATAAGTTCATAGGTTCTTGGGTCTCAGGACAAAGAATTGTATCAGAGATGCATAGTTAACAATAGAGGCAATTTACTTAAAGACATTTACAAAGAAACTCAGGTAGGGAATGGGATAGTGATCTGGAAAGTGCATAAACTGAAGTCCTTAACCATTACCTGCCTTCTCTAGGCCAATTTTTCTCTTCCATGCTGTTTGTTAATGAGTAACCCAGGCAGGAAAGGGATTCCAGGCACTGTCAGCTGGTGTTTGTTTGTTTATTGTGTCTGGGAAGGGATTCTAGGCACTATCAATGGCATTGATTGACTGATTGATTGTGCCTGGGTGTTTTTTGTGCACTACACGTGTGCTGTGATCGTGAGGCCAGAAGAGGGCGTCAGCCGTTACTGCAACAGCAGACTGTTGTTAGCTGCCACGTGCCAGAAATTGATCCAGAGTCCCCTGAAAGACTTAACCATCGAACAATCTCTGCAGCCCCTCATACCTTATTCTTGATGTCTCTCTACACACCCCTATTCTTCTGCCACACTTGCATGGTGTTAGAGTCTGGCAATTGGAGGCGGGGTTGCATATTCAATGTGAAAGTCAGGAACTTTATAGAAACCAGACAAGCATAAAACCTGACTGGGAAGAAAAAGCGTTTTAGGTCAAGCACATCTACAGACCATCAACATCTCTGGATTTGACAGCCCGGGCAAGTTCCGGTCAGGAGAGGGAGGCAGTTGACACTGCGGAAGCAGAGGTAACCTTCAAATTGGAGGTGCACGAGTTCTGGTCTGCAGATGGGAAGAGAGAAACGGAGGAGGTTAAGCTGCTCAAGTCGTTGTAAACTGTGCGAACTGGGAAACGCAGGCCCCCAGCGGCCGAAGCCACAGTGAAGGGCAACAGGGCCGAGGCCAAGGGCTGGGCCTCTCAGGCCATGAGGGCGGGATCGTCGCGCGAGGCGCTCTGGGAGTGGTAGGCGCTTTCTTTCCGCTCTCCTTCAGCCACTCGTTCTGGGCACCCAAGGACGTCCAGTTGGTGGGCGCTGAGACTCGTACTTTTCAACTCGGAGACTTTCCTCAGGCGGAGCCCACCTCTTGCCCTCTTGCGCGCGGCAGCTTACAACAGGCTTCCGGCGTGAGGCATTGTGGGCAGTATAGTCCTCTCGCAACCTCCCACCGCATACGCGCGGCTCACCGGACTACGTTTCCCTTCGGCCTGCGCGCGCCCCGAGCCGCGTCGGCTCCAGCCCCCGACGAACCGAGAGTCTCCAAGATGGCCGCGTGGGGAAGGAGGCGTCTCGGTCCGGGCGGCGGTGGCTCCCGAGAGAGGTAAGGTGGGCTCGCGACTGCGGGCGGAGGTCGACCACAGAGCCGGCGAAGCACCTATGCCACGCGCGACTCCTGATCGTGTGCCCGCCACGCGCGGGACTCAGTCCGCGGGGGCCTAGGTGTGAAAGGAGCGGGGCGGCGCGACGGCCAGGAGCGAGGGGAGCGAGACTAGGAGGGGCAGCGACCCGCAACCAGGCGGGCCGTGAGCCAGGGTGAGTGGCTGCGAGGGCCGCCACGCTGTCCTACCGAGCGGCGTGTGGGCTTTGGGCCACTGGCTCGCGCACGTGGCCCTCTTGGCCTGGGTGCCCGCTGTGTCGTGGATGGGCTCCTGGGAGAGGAGGAGGGTAGAGGTTCGCGGGGCGGTGTGCTATATAGGGGCGTTTGCTGAGAGCGGCAGCGTGCCGGGCGTGCCTCCAAGAGCCTGTGCCTGGCCGCCTTCTGAGCGAGCAATCGTCGCCACTTTTTGAGGATTCCTTTCAAGCACTTCTGCCCTAAGTCCTTTATAGTGACCTTTTCTACTGAATGCGTTTGGGGGCGCTAGGGGTTTGTTTCCTCCAGTGATTTCCGGATGACAAGAGTAGTTGACGTGTTTCACGTTGAACTTGTAGCTTTTTCCTTCTGGGAATTATTTTTAGCTAATAGGTTACTAGAAGCTGTTCAACCACAAGAAATTTGGGGAAGTGGGTGTATATCGGTGGCGCTACTGGATTAACCTGCCCAGTCCGTTTTGCTAAGTCCTCCGCGTTTTACTGCGGATGTCAGAAAGAAAGGAAAGTTTGGCTTCTCCTTTTCCAATGAGTACTGTCAACCATAAAAGTTGTGTCTCAACTAATCTGCGTTGTTCCTTTTTGACTGACGCATCCCATGTTCCTTGCTATTGCTTACAGAGAGCTTTCCCATTCCATACGATTCTTCTTCCTGCTTGGCAGAAGTGGTAACCAGTTTTACTCTTGAGTTCGGTTATGCTAAATAATCCATTCTGCATTTATTGTGACATGGAAAAGTAGTGGCAAGGAATGGTCTTTCTTTCTTTCTTTCTTTCTTTCTTTCTTTCTTTCTTTCTTTTTTTTGTTTTTTTGGTTTTTCGAGACAGGGTTTCTCTGTGTAGTCCTGGCAGTCCTGGAACTCAACTCTGTAGACCAGGCTAGCCTCGAACTCTCGAACTCAGAAATTGCCTGCCTCTGCCTCCCAAGTGCTGGGATTAAATGCGCCACCACTGTCCGTCGATTTCAGGATTTTAATTTCAGCCCAATAGAAGGGAAGAATCTTCCTAGAAGATCCAGAATCAAACAAAGATATTCTTAATATTTTTGTTTGCTTGTTTTTAGAGCCATGTATGTAGAGTCATTAGAGTCAGTGTGTAGTTCTGGCTGTTCTGAAACTCACTCTATAGACCAGGCTGGCCTTGACCTCACAGAGATGAGCCTGCCTCTGCCTCCCAAGCACTCGAAATAAAGGCCATCATACCCTATCATACTCTTGTTCTTGGACACAGACTGAAAGGGCCAAACATGCATGCCTCAAGCATGAGACAGGAGTCTTGCTAGCCTACCTAAGAAAATAGAGATTTTTTTCCTTTGTCTTGAAACAGATATTAGCCGGGTAGTGGTGGCGCACTCCTTTGATCCCAGCACTTGGGAGGCAGAGGCAGGTGGATTTCTGAGTTCCAGGCCAGCCTGGTCTACAGAGTGAGTTCCAGGACAGCCAGGGCTACACAGAGAAACCCTGTCTGGAAAAACCAAAAAAAAGAAAAAAAAAAGAAAAGAAAAAGAGAAACAGATATTAATTTAAAACATTTTGTCAGCCAACCACCCATAGTATGAGTCCAGACCTTGATGATTATGCATTAGCTGCTTTTAAGGGAATTTAAATTAAATGCAGACAGAATTTACTATAAAGCTAGATAGTGATTGACTCTCTTCAGAGCAGTTGGTATTTGCTTCTCACCTGACATCTTACTAATTAAGGTTATCTTCCTGGGTCCTGTAGGTGTTCAGGTTGTGACCTTTGGCCAGGAACTGAAGGTTCTACCCAAGCATGCAGGTGCTGTACGTCTGCCAGGAATGGGGCATCTGATTTTATGATTTGAGAGTTGCCATCTGCCCTCCTTCTAGTGACTGGAGGCTGTTTGCCTTTGTGGGAAGCCCTTCCAAAGGGTTCTTTCTCAGGATCCCATCTCCTTAAGGCCTCCCACTCTAGGCAGTGCATGGAAACATAGCCCCCTCCTGGCCAGCAAACTGACTTCTGGGCACACCTCCATTCCTGCTCACTTGGTGGCCTGACTGGGTGGAGCAGGCCAGAATAATTGTATGCTCAGCACCATAGATTGTGAGCACTGAGTGTATTATTGGCTCTCATGACACAAGCTGTTTGTGGCTCCTAAATGACTTTGTTCCATGTCACATTTGGACTGACTCAAATTTCAGCTTCATGTTAAGAGCACTTCCAGGGTTGCTCACACCTTGCTGCCTGCCCTGTGCTGAAACTGAAGGGGATGCTGCGTGGTTTGTGGTAAGGGCTGGAATGGGCAATGCTTTGAACAGACATCGTGTTTGCCAGTGGCTGCATACTCTGGTGCTTATGTTGCATTTAAGGCCCTGCTTTGTGCTGGTTGTCAACTTAGTGTGCAGTGGTTCTTGCTTTGCTGTTAAGTCCAGAAACACAGGCTAGTACTAGAGCTGAGTGACAGTTATTGTAGCAGTTCAGTAGCTGCTAGCTATATGTGGCAATTACATTGAAGTTAAAATTAAATATAGTGAAAAGTATAGCTCTCAGTAGTAGACCATGTGTCTGGTATCTAGTACTTGCTTTGGGCTAATGACTAAGCGTAGGGAGTTTTCCATCAGTGAAGTAGATAGGAACAATACTGATCTAGACTGAAATTGGAGGGGGAAAGGAGCAAACAGAGAGCTGCTTATGTGTTGATTCTTCTCTCCACTCCATTAAATCTAGGGAAACAACAGTATTTGTAATGAAGAACATCAAACTCTGAGCTGTAACCTGAATTGTTGTCCAAAATTGAGCACACTGACAGCGAGCACAGCAGACAGATTGCCGTTTGTCCTGCTGGCCTCTTTGAGGCACACTTACCCATCTAGGAAAGCAGAGCAGGTATCTGTATTCTACCACCTGTGTGCCAGCCTGGACCAGCTCTCAGACAGCCCTGCCTGTCCTTTCTTGGGTTACTTGGTGCTGCTCAGAGCCCCTGAGCATCTCTGAGATCTTCATGATTGTTGGAATGTGAGTATGGCCCCGTACTCTGAGTTCCTTTTTTGATGATCCTATAAAGATAATTGATCTGTATCTGATCGTGATACAGGGTGGCCTGGGGTATTCAAATTTCCTTCCCCTGTTCTGGGCATTTGTTTGGCAGCAAATTGTCATGGGGGTTGGTTGCCTCCACATCCTTCCCTGCCACCTTTACTTGGAAGACCATGTCATTTGAGTATATAAAGGGGGCAAAGTTCCAGTGGCCACTGTAGGATTAGTACCTACTGCAGCTGAACACTCATTGTTTACATTCCCGGGATGATAGGCCCCCTTTCTGCTCTGATCCTGTTAGGGCTGAGGACTCTAGGGATTTGAGGCAGTTAATATTTCAGGAGGTTCTCATTCTGGCTTTGGTCTGTATGGTAGGATTCTTCCTCCTGGTCTGGATGAGATGAGCAGACCCAGGACATACACCAAAGTCTCTTGATCTCTAGCCACTGGATGGGGATGGGGCATGGGGTTCTGCCTGTTGGCTAGTAAGAGATGACAGCACTCACTGCTGAGCCACATGTGCTACTCACAGACATGAATGTGTAGGTTGACCTCTGCCATGGTCCAGTCTTTAGGGTATATTTCTATTTTCCTGGGTTTTATTCAAGCAGCCTGAGTTCCACTTGCTTTGGTATCTGCTTCTATGTCAGTTCTGCAGGCTCATTCCAGTGGATCCCACCTCTGAGAAAGGCAGGGTTGACAATGTCCAGGGAGAAGCAACAAATAGGCCGAGGCCTCTCTGCCCAGCTCGGGTGGAAAGTATGGCTTATGAGCCGCCATGTATGAAGATAGTTCTTACTGCCTCTGTGGGTCCTCATGCCGACAGCGACTCTGGTGGGCCCAGAGTTCCTGGGGAAGCCAGTAACCATTTCGTTCTCACCACAGGTCTTCAGATGAAGACTGTGTATAGAAGAGTTTCTGCCTCTCTGATGATTATTGGGGCTACCACTAGTTGCCTGTGTCTGTCAGTGCCTGAAATGGTACTGTGTCAGAGGGCTGAGGTTTTTACTTTATCAATTGATTGACATTTAAACAGCTAATGATGTTTCGCTTCTGTCCTCTTTTGCACCTAGCCTGATCCTAACACTTCTGCAGTGCTTTAGGAAACCAGGGAAAGTGGCTCAGAGTAGCAAAGTGGTTTTGTTTTTCAAGGCAGGGTTAGAAAATCTGTAGACCAAGCTAGCCTCAAACTCATCCACCTGCCTCTGCTTCCCCAGTGCTGAGATTAAATGGTGTGTTTCAGTGTTGCAGGAGCCACCTCGTGTGTGTATTGAACTGGTGTTCTCTGCAAGGGCAGTGCTGTTGTGCCACAGTAGCTGTTCTCCTGTCCCTCATTACACAGTCATGGAAACCTGCTGTATCCAGGCAGAGCTAGGCAGGGATACCTTGATGAAAACATCCTTGGGTGGTGATTGTTGTTTGTTTTTAAAAAGGCCCAAGCACCAGTTGCTAGCCTAGATAGATGTGAGTTTCCACTTGAACCCTGCCTGGGAATCTGGGGCCTAGGAAATGGACGTCAGATTAAGTTCTCAGGAGTGGGGGCTCTATGGGTATCTGATTTCTGCTCTGTGTAGATTATTGAATAAATATCTGGGTTTTGTTTGTTTTTGAGATAGGGTCTCATAACCCAGGCTTGCATTGAATTTTTATGCAGCAGAGAATGAGCTGGGCTTTTGACTCATTGTTGATCAAAGCCAGGACCTTGCACAAGCTACGTCCCCAGCTTTCTTTTTTTTTTTTTTCTCCCCTTTCCCCCTTCCCTCCCCGCCCCAGCCCCCTCCTTGGGAAAGAGTTTCCCAAAGAACTTGAACTCAGGCTAGGAACTCAGTCTTCTTGCCTTAGCTGGTGGCTGGTACTACATACTACAAGCTGGTAAGACATACAACTGGCTGGTAAGACATACTACAAGTATGTCTTCTTACCAAGCCAGTTGAGATTTTTCTTTTTAAGAAAAAAAAAAAAAGATAATTGGTCAGTGGTTATGCACACTTTTAATTCCAGCACTAGGAAGCAGATGTAGGTGGATCTTTGTGAGGCCAGCCAGGGCTACACAGAGAAACCCCGTCTCAAAACAACAACAAAAAGGATGTAGGGGGTGGGAGGATATACAAGCGTGGAGCTGGAGAGGGTAGCTCAAGTGGGTACAAGTGCTTGCACACCTGAGTTCAGATTTTTAGCACTTACCTAAATGCTGGGCATGGCTGTCTCTATCCTGCTACTCCAGCATTTGGGGGAGAGGGGCAGAGATAAGTGGATCTTGAGGGCATGCTAGTCAGCTAGCCTAGCCAGATGGCAAGCTTCTGTTTTAGTGGTGTTACAAATGGATCTGAGGTCTCAGGGGAAGGATCACACCGTGCAAAGAACAAAACATAAAGGTTTACTTCTGCAGAAGGGTATCCAACTGTATATCAAGCCAGCCATGTAGACAAGCATAGGAGCAGAGCTTCACGTTTTTATGGGATCTGCTAACAGAAAAAGTAGCACTGTTCATAAGGAAAGTATGTTTTGAGAGCAGAAGGCACAATCATGAGCACATACTTTGATCTTAGACAAATGTTAGGTTATGGGCTTGTCCCAAGATCAGAGCTTCTAGAACAGGAAGAGTAAGCCCACAGGCAGGTCCCAGTGGTCAGAAGCACAAACCCAAACCCTCGCCAAAGGAGAACACAGATTGCAGGTAACTTGTTTCATTTAACCCTTTGACAGAAAAGCCATGGCATATTTTACTTACGCCCCACAAGTGCCTTGTCTCAAGACAGTGAGGTAGCCAGAGGTGGAGGACACCTGACATCCATCCCGCTCTGGCCTCTACATGCACGTGCTTGCTTGCTTTATTTTGCTGTAATATTTCTTTTACACTTATTCGTGTGCAGTCACACCAGTGTGTGCAAGTGGAAGTTAGAAGACAATTTATTTGAGTTGGTTCTCTTCCCTCAAATATAGAAGTCCCAGGGAATCAGACTGCTCTTCACGCATGGTGACAAGAACCTTGACCCATAGAGCCATCTCACAGACCTCTTGTTTTTAAACAGAAAGTCTTATCAAAAACAAAATGTTATGGTCAACTGACTACTAGACCATCATTGGAAGAAAATGGCTATTGATCTTTTGATGTACAGAGCCTTTAGATACATGCTCCATATCGCTCTCTAGGGTTTTTAAAAATTACATTAAATGTGTTAAGCTAACTTAATATATGATACCTCTTCTTTTTTGGTTTTTCGAGACAGGGTTTCTCTGTATAGCCCTGGCTGTCCTGGAACTCTGTAGACCAGGCTGGCCTCGAACTCAGAAATCCCCCTGTCTCTGCCTCCCAAGTGCTGGGATTAAAGGCATGCGCCACCACCGCTTGGCATGATATCTCTTAAAAGCATAGTGTTAAGTGAAAGAAGCCTGTCACAAAACCCCACACAGTGTGTGGTTCTGTTTACCTGGAATCTCAGAATTGGCAAATCCAGAGTCAAGAAGCAGGTTGGTAGCTACTGAGGTGGATCAAGGGAGAGGAAAGTGCCCCCAAAGGGTGCAGAGTTTCTGGGGTGGTTAAAGTGTCATAAAATTATGGTATTGGTGCTGCGCCACCTAAAACGCAGATCCTTCCAACTCCATCACCCATGTGCAGGGAGGGAAAATGGGAGTGCCTCACCGTATTTCACATGATAAACAAGGGTTCAGTTATCAATCTATCAAAAACTACTGTCAGCTACATATGCCTGCAGCCCTGCACTTGGGATGTGGGGGCAGGAGAATCAGGAGTTCAGTCATCCTCTGGTACAGATTGAATTCAAAGCCAACCTGGTTACTTAAGACCTTGTCTCAAATAAGTTATAAATAAAGGCCACTTTACAGTTGCCACAATGACTACTAAAAGAAACAAGGGACAATAAGGCTCATCGGGTAAGGATGAGTCCCTGGGATTCACTCAGTGGAAGGGGAAAGCTAACACCTGTAGCGCTGACCTCCACACACACTCTGGCAAGTATATGTGTTCCTCTCAAATGAAATATTAAATTAAAATAAATGGGACTGGAGAGCTGGCTTGGTGATTAAGAAAGAGCACTGGCTACTCTTCCAGCTAGGCTAAGTTCTCTTCCCTTGTGGTTGTTGTCAGTAACTCCGGTGTCTCTTTTGATGTCTACCAGTACCAGACTTACAACTGGTGTACAGGCATACATGAGAGCAAAGCACCTTACATGAAACATAAAACTTAATCTAAAAATAAGTGTAAAAACAGAGTTTTAAAAATAAAAACAAATATTGGGTATTTGTCCAAAAGAATTCAAAATAGGAGGCCAAAGAGATGGCTCAGCGTTTGCCTGATGAGAGATCTGTCCATGGAACCCACATAAGGCCAGGAGGGCTGACATCTGTAACTTCCATGCATTGGCCAGATGTGATGGTGTACACCTTTAATCCCAGTACTCAAGAGGTAAGAGGCAGGTTGATCTCTGAGTTCAAGACCAGCCTGGTCTAGGTAGTAAGTTCCAGGAACAACTAGGGCTACTTAGTGAAACCCTATCGGAGGAAGAGGTGCTAAAAGTTTAAAAAAAAAATTTTTTTTTTTTGTTTTAAAAAACACTGAAACGAAATGGGCACTCCACACAAGAACAAATACTCATGAATGTGTAGTACCTAGAATAGCTGAGTAGAATAGAAAATAGGACAGTGGATACAAGGGGGTTCAATGGAGAAGATTCTGGAGAGTAGTTCTATAATAATGTAACTGTATTTAACAAGGTGCTAATTTTTTTTTTGTTTTGTTTTTGTTTTTTTGTTTTTTTGTTTTTTTGAGACAGGGTTTCTCTATATAGCTCTGGCTGTTCTGGAACTCACTCTGTAGACCAGGCTAGCCTTGAACTCTCGAACTCAGAAATCCACCTGCCTCTGCCTCCCAAGTGCTGGGATTAAAGGTGTAAGGCGCTAAATTTTGTTATGTATATTTTATCACAGATAATAATAAAATTTGTGTTCCAGCCAAGCAGTCAGATCTCTGTGAGTTCAAGACCTGCCAGGGATACCTTGTTTGAAAACAAACAAAACCAAAAACCTTGTACTTAATCACTTAACAAGTGGGAAGTAAGTCTTGCCTTTTCCCGCATAGCTTAGACTACCTTGTGTCTTGGCTTGTGAAACCTCATTTCCTTACTGTTCCTAGTTGACAACTGAAGACAGGCCAACAGACTTTTTAGCTCCGTACTTAAGTGAAGCATGAAAGGCGCCTGCTGCTTGCATGCCTGTTGCAGGGTGCTGTGTTCTGCCCGGGTGGCAAGCAGCCAGGTTTAGTTTTCTCACTTACTGGGCAGAGACGTATAGTGCAGACTTGGGTCTTGAACAGATATTTTTAGACTTTGGGAAGACTGACATTTGAGGTCTGGCCTTGGGCAGGGGTGAAGCAGGAACTACAGAGCCCTATACACAGCCTGCCAGACACTCTTGGGGTACCTGTATCCCAGAGTTTCCCTTATAGCTGCTTTTTTGCTGCAGTGCCAGCATTTCCAAGTGACTCCTAACTATCCCCCTCCCTTACACAAAACTGATTGATCTAGACATGGCCCATGACCTGAGATACTGGAGCAAGGTAGCCACCTGTTCCACTGAAGGGCTCAGGATAGAGTGACCCCTCACCAAGTGTTAGCAAAGTGCATAGGACAGTATTCTTAAGTACCAGAGATTGTCCCAAGTGTAGGGTCAGAGGTTATTTAATGGAAAGGGGCTGGAGTGATAGCTCAGTGAATAAGGCACTCACTCTGCTTGCAGGAAGGGCACCTAAATAGAAGCTGGATGTGCCAGCATGTATCTGTAACCCTAGTGCTGGAGGAGGAAAGAGACAAATGGGTGCTTAGAACTCTTGTTGGCCTGCCAGTCTAGCCAGTTGGCAAACTCCAGGGACAGTAAGAGGCCTTGTTTAAAAAAATAAAGACATTTAGGGCGTGTCCTCATGACATCTTATTATGTCTGTTGACTATTCTCCAATCTGAATACATCCAAAGCCCAGAACACTGTTCTGCAGCGTTTCTGATGAGGGATACTCAGCCAGTAGTAGCAGCAGTAGCCATTGTTTCTGTTTACAGGTACCAGTGATCAGGTCACCTAGAACTTAAGGCCCAGGGCTTTCTGAGTTTGGGCCAGCTCCTGCCCATCGCTTGTCCTACTTCCATTTTCCACTGGTGTGGAAACCAAGCTTTTGGCTGGCCTTCTGGCTGGGATTTGACTCAGACATAAAAGGCAGCCACTCAAGCTGGAGTGGCTGAGAGATGGCTGGACTTGTCTCTTTACTGAGGAGTTCAGCACAGTTACTGAAGTAGAGGAGACCCTTCACGGCCCACACATGCCATGGCATGCAGGACTCCCTACCAGCGCTTAACAAAGTAGCATGCTGGTACCTTGTCTGATCCCACGCACTTCAAAATAGGGGACTTGTGCTTCATGGATGTTTGGTTCGAGTGTTTCCATTTTCTTCTTGGAAACACACTTCTCTAAAGATTCTACCATCCCAAAGGAGACTCAGGACTATTTTCCTTAACTAGCTGTCCCCAAAGAATTGGTGTCTCTGGTAGCCATGGTCTATAGGTGCTGTCTACCTATGAACTTGGGAGACCTCCTGTGTGGCACTCCTGCTTCCTCTGTTGCTTGGTTTGATTTTCATGCTGTATGGACCAAGTCTATAGTGGGTGGAAAAGGATTGTGGTGAGCTCACCTACAGAACCAGCTCAGGAATATGAGGATTGGGTAGGCATACCTGTTTATAGCTACTGTAACACAGCTCTGATGTTCACAAAACTGCCTGCAGTGAAGGACCTGTAAGAGTTAGGACCCACTGACTCAGAGCTCTTCCCTGGCTGTGTCTATTTCATGTCACTCCACTTTAGGGAGCACTGGCCTCTCATTTCCAAACATGCCTAGAACCATGAACATGCTCACTCATTTGTCTCGACAAATAGCAAGAGATGGGCTCTCTCAGGCTGGCCTGGGCATGCAGAAGGCGTTGGGGACTGGCCCGGAAGAAATAAGAAGTGTCATCTGCCTAGTGATACATTTTTAAGATGGAGCAATCTGTCATAGCTGCTGAAAGTGCTTTACTGAGACAAACTTTCTCCTGTGTTCAGGATGGCCACAGCCTGCAGGGCAGAGAAGGCCATGGATGACACTAAAGTTGACTGGCATTGCAGCCTGTACTCCCACCTTGAACCCACATTTTGCCTTGAGTTCTGCAGTTGGGGAAGAATTGCTTCAGATGCTCTATGCATAGGGAGGTGCCCTGTTCCATTTGAAAGTAGGCAGGACTTGGGATGATTTGGAAGTAGCTCTGCCTGGAATCTCAGTCTCACAGATGGGTGTGTAAATTGGTGCTTTGGCTTTTATTGGCTGATGAACATGAAACCACAAAGGGAATCTCTTGGCCATGAGCGCACCCACTTGAAAACAGGATCCATTAACTGTCCTCCACTATCAAGGGACTTTGTTGTTTTTGAGACAGGGTCTCCCTATGCAGCTCAGGCCAGCCTGGAACTCTGTCCTCCTGGTGCAGACTCCTGAGTGCTGGTATTGCAGGCGTGTGCCAGCATGGCTGGTCTCAACTCTGCCTTTGAGCCAGAAAGACCTCAAGTGTATTTTATTTATTGGCTAAAAGTGTACGACAATAATTGTGTCCTGTTGTGAAGAAGCAACTGCAGTGGCCTGCTCACCTTCCCTTGAACTTTACTCTAAATGGAGAAAGTCCACAGAAGATATTCATGGGGAAAGACTGCTTTCCAATTGGACTGTCAGCTTCCTGGGGGTCTGAGGCGGTCTGCAACATGGCATGCCAATGGACAGGCTGCTTTGGCTATGTCCCGTGCTGTGGCTTATTTTTATTTTGTGGTGTTAGGAGTGAGTCCAGGGGCCCTGTGCAGACTAGGCAAACTGTCTCTGAGCCACCTCCATTCCCCATGCTGAGGCTTCTGGTCCCACCCCAAGGAATAGCCTTCTCCCTGGAGCACACCTGACTTGGGGCTTGTAATTTAATTAAGCCTTACCTGAGCCCAGCTTAATCACAGTCACTATTAGAGGGTAGAGTCTTAATCACAGTCACTATTAGAGGGTAGAGTTTAAGCCGTTGCCTTTTTACTAACGGGGGTACTGGTCTTGGTGTGGGATCCCCTGTACTATACTTGGAATGCAGTCTTTTTTCTCACTATGTTGGCCAGGCATGTCTTGAACTCAGAGATCTGTCTGCCTCTGGAGAGTAAAGTGTAGACTGCCATGCCTCCCGACCCTTGTGACCTTTTTGTTTCACTATTTCGGGGGAAAAATGTTGTCTTGTAGTTTGGGCTCTGAAGCAAAGAAACCTATAAGTGGGATGTCCTTGAAGCTGAGGCAAACATTTGCCCAACCCTATACACCCAAATAGGTTAGACTGTAACCTAACCTCCTTGTCTTTTCCTTCCACTAAAGGGTTAGCCTGTCAGCTACAGACTGCTACATTGTGCATGAAATCTACAGTGGGGAGAATGCCCAGGACCAGTTTGAGTATGAGCTGGAGCAGGCGCTGGAAGCCCAGTACAAGTACATTGTGATAGAGCCCACCCGAATTGGAGATGAGACAGCACGCTGGATCACCGTAGGCAATTGCCTGCACAAGACGGCCGTGTTGGCAGGTACTGCCTGCCTCTTCACCCCATTGGCACTGCCCCTGGATTACTCCCACTACATCTCCCTGCCCGCTGGTGTGCTGAGCCTGGCCTGCTGTACCCTCTATGGGATCTCCTGGCAGTTTGACCCTTGCTGCAAGTACCAGGTGGAGTATGATGCCTATAAACTGTCTCGCCTGCCTCTGCACACGCTCACCTCCTCCACACCAGTGGTGCTGGTTCGGAAGGATGACCTGCACAGAAAGAGACTGCACAACACAATAGCCCTGGCTGCCCTGGTGTACTGTGTAAAGAAGGTTTATGAGCTCTACGCCGTATGACTGCAGGAGAGTGGGACAAGAAGCAGAAGCACAGGGCCCACAGGACTCAGATCCTACAGCAACACTGGGTTTTCTCTGTGAAGCAACAGCACCTGGGAAAGTTTGGTTTAATACTTGTTATTTTTTTAAGCAAAAATAACAGATCATGGGTGTGCCAGGGGTTTATTCAGCTCATTACACTAAGATGTCTATTTCCATAACCCAGGAGTGGCTCCCAGGCTGTGGAAGTCTGACTGAGCAATGGAATATGGATAGGAGCCAATGCTACTTTCTGAGGGGTATGAACTTGATGTGGGGGTGTCTTAAGTATATTGTTTAACTATACCATTCAGAAGCCAACCGGAAGCTATTGACCATTAAAATTATGAGAATTTCAACTTCTGTTCTCTTTTTCTGCCTGTGCCTGCAGCTGCTGCTGTGTGTGGGATGGGCAAGTGCTGCAGACACACCCTGCTGTGCCTCCTTGCAGCAGAGTGGCTCTAGAGCTAACATCCTGCCAGAAAGAATGCATAATAGGAAAAGCTACCCTGCCTGGCTTCTGGCCAGCTAGTCTAGCCCAGTCATGGTCCCCTTTAGCCATGTTGTTTGTTACCACTGGTGATGTACCTTCTGTTTAAGGATATAGCAGAATAAGGTGGCCTTGGTTTCCTTTTGGCTCACCTGGGAGTACCACACCCAGAAGCCCTTCTCCAAAGACTGACTTAAAGAGAGCACAGAAACCTTTTCTGTTTATGTAGCCCTGAGTTCATCCCAGTGTCCCAGGTTGTGGGAGGTACCCCTGCCCAGGGCAGTGAATCTTACAAGGCTTGTTTTTGAAACTGTCTTTGTTGCTGTACTAGAACTTGCTGTGTAGACTAGGCACAGGCCTGGAACTCAAAAGTCCTCTGTTGCCTCCTGAGTGTTGGGGTTAAAAGGCATGTGTGCCACCATGACCAGCCTTTTGTCTTTTTTTTTTTTTTCCTAAGGCTCGCAGTAAGTGGGAAATGATTCCCTGGACGAAGGCTGGGGCATAGCACTTCTGTGGTCTCTAGTAGATAGCTAAGCCAGCTTTTCCACAGAAAGTTGGGATACCCAGCATCAGGAAGGGGTCCTAACCTGGATGTAAGGGAATCAGGTTTAGAGAATTCAAAGAGAGATTCATTGTAACAGGAGAGGTCCAGAGTTGGGGGACATTTTTTAAAGCCCACAAAAAGTGTAAGAAATTGTGACTTAATTCCAAGTACTGTAGAAATACTAATGGCTCGGGATGGTGGAGACATAACTGCCTTAGCCATGAACCAGTGTCTGTAGGGCGAGTTGGTATCTATCTATGAGCCGAGTGGCTGAAGGCTGGCTTGAGCCCGATGGGTAAGCACAGCATGGGAGAGGTTTCTGTAACAGTCAGTCACCTGGTCTGGCTGTACTCTTTGAGCACATCAGATTGCATGGGGGGGGACTCTGGGCTGGGGACCTCATTTCAGCTGAGCAGGTGCCCTTGCCCAAAATAGAAACCAGGTACAAACAGCTCCTCCCTATTTCCCAAGCTGCACTGAACAAAGTGACTCTTGTTAAGTGTACTAACCCAGATTCTGAAATGCCATCTTGGTAATTTGGCCCCTGGCCAGAAGAACAGGGGTAGCTGAGCCTGGGCTGGGCTCTGAGAGGGGCAGCATATGGACCTCACATTCGATGCTTTTCACAATAGCTTTCTCTGCTGAGAAGACAAGTCACATGGCCTGGACCATCCTGTTGGGAACCCACTGATAGAGTTCTGTATGACCCATTAAGGATTGGGTCATGGAAGGAATCTAGTCTCAACTGCCTCCTTGCTACCACTTTCAGGAGCACAGCACTCTATCATGGGGCAGTTAACAGTAAACAGACAGGCAGATCCTGGGGAGCTCTGTCCATGTGGCCCAGTGGCTGTGTCCTTGTTGCAAGGCAAAGCCTTAAGCCTTGGTCATGAACTTGCCCTGCAGAATGGACTGCATGGTCAGGCATCATCAGTGTCCAGACACCACAGGTTTCAAGATCAATATGGAGGCTGACCTTTTATCATCAAGATATTTGAAGGAATTTAAGGATGAAAGGGGCAGGAGAACAAAGTCAGGAGTGCAGTCAGGAACTGGGCTAAAAATGTCAGGAACAAAGTAAACTTTGAGAGCAGGAGTTGAAGGCAGGCCAGGGCTGGGCCTTCCAAGCATACAGCTCTGGGTAACTGCAGGTAGGAAGAGAGGCTCGCTCGGGTTGGCTGGGAGTAGCTGTGCATTAGAGCCTTGCTGATGCTCTTGCCCTCAGACCTGGGCTTATGCTGGCATGAGAAGCACAGGACACGGCTAGAGTCTTTATGGGTATGCAGGTCATATGAATCCTTGGTGCCCTCACTTGTGGAGTGAGAGCTCAGTAGCCCTAAGTATCAGGATCTCTCAAACCAGCCGCAACAGTTTGATGTTTCCTGTGGTGACTGTGCTGTTGTTATGACTTATAATTTTATTTAATGGAGAGGAAAGAATGGTAGCTGGATGTGACCCTTCTCAAAGTGCCAGACAAGTGTCAGAGAAGGGGGAAGTAAGTTTGCTGCTGTTCACTAGGAACATGCTGGGTGCTTTGTAACTCTATGCCACCAAGGACTAGGTTGCAGCCCTAGTACAGTTGTTGCTGGTGCTGATTCCCCCAGCACTGTGATCTACTATGAACATTAAGGAGTCCTTCCTCCTCCCTAACGGGAGGGTGGATGGTATCTGTGGAAGATGAGAGACCACCCATGATCTGTATCCACATTTCACCCACAGTTCTTGAACCATCTAGGACAAGGTGTGGGCTATGGTAAATAAGTCACCCGGTCTGGTCACACTCATCTTTTCTCCAAGGGAACTTCAAGCCTGCAGCACTGACCTTAGGCTACTGCAGCTATTTTTAATCACCTATCAGGCTCAAGAGAGAAGCACAAGGCACCGGAGAGATGGCTTGGTGGTTAAAGAGTCCTGGCTGCTCTTGCAGAGGATCCAGATTCAATTTCCAGCACTCACATGGAGGTTTAAAACTGTCCATAACTTCAGTCCTAGAAAATCTGATGCCCTCTCCTGGCCTCCATAGCATCAGACACTGCAGGTGGTACACAGTAGACATGCATACAGATAAAACCCATACATATAAAATATTAAAAAACAAAACCAACAGCTCAACAATAAGCAGATAAAACACAAACAGGAAAAGGGGAAAGTATCCTTATTTGCAAATGATGCTTCTACATGACTAGACTTCACCAGAAAAATAGAACTGACAAGCATTCTCAGCAAAGGGACAGGATAAAGACCTCAACAAAGACAACTTTAAAACATTCAAGAAAGACAATGAAAACACTAGAAGAAAAATAGAACTGAAAAGCATTCTCAGCAAAGGGACAGGATAAAGACCTCAACAAAGACAACTTTAAAACATTCAAGAAAGACAATGAAAACACTAGAAGATGGGAAGACCTCCATTCTTGTGGGCTGGAAGAATTAATACTGTGAAAATAGCAATCTTGGCTTGGGTAAGCCAAGTAGCTCAGTTTGTGACTGCCTAATATTCATGAGGTCCTAGGTCTGATGTTTACCACTCTATAAACTGGCATGGCGCACATGCATGGCCCCAGCACTGAGAGGCAGGGGCAGGAAGAGTAGGATTTAGAAGGCCATCCTTGACTACTGAGTGAGTTTGAGGCCAGGCTGAGATATATATAGTCTGGGAGGGAAGTAAAGAAAGAACCATATAGATTCAATGTAATTGCATCAGAATTCAAAAGCCATTCTTTTTTTGTTTTGGTTTTTTTTTTGTCTTTTTGAGACAGGATTTCTCTGTGTAGCTCTGGCTGTCCTGGAACTCACTCTAGACCAGGCTGGCTTTGAACTCAGAAATCCTCCTGTGTCTGCCTTCCAAGTACTGAGATTAAAGGCAAGCACCACCACTGCCTGGCCCAAAAGCCATTCTTAAAAATAATAAAAACTAGAAAAACAGACTTCAGAAGCGTAAAAGACCCCAGACAACCAAAGTAATCTTGAACAAAAATAAACGTGGGAGGGTATCACCTTACAGAGCTCCAGGTTACATCACAGTTGTCATTGACACTCAGCACAGTATTAGCATTAAGCAGACATAGACTAATGGGACAAAATAAAAGACTGAGATAGGAACTACATCGCTAGAGCTACCTGATTTTACAAAGATGCCAAAAATGCACAAATGGTGCTGTGAAGCCTGGGCAGCCACACGGTCAAGAATGAAACTAGATCTTTATCTCACCCTGCACAGAAACACATCAGTTCCAAATAGACCAAGGACCTTCATGTAAGATGTGAAACTCAAACCTGTTAAGAAAAAGTAGGGAAAATATTTCCCAGATACAGACACAGGCAAGGACTTTGTGAACAGGACCCCTGTGGCTCAGGTGACAAGGCCAGCAAGTGATAAATCAGACCTCATGAAGCTAGAAGGCTTCCAGAGCACAAAAGGAGCTTCACTTTACGTGGAGAGAGGCATGGGATTGAAGAAACTTTGTCAGAGCTGAGAGGATTAATATCTAGAATACACAAAGAACTTTAAAAAACTGATCAAGGGGGATAATGAAATGAGCCATAACCGATGAAATAAATACAAATGGCCAGAAAACATGAAAACTCTTGCATCTCACTACCCATCAGAGCAATGCAAGTCAGAGATCTCACTTCAGTTACAAGGTCACTCATTAAGAAAACAGCAAACACTGGCCTGGATGTGGACAAAGGGAACCCTTACACACTGCTGGTAAGAATCTAAACTAGTGTGACCTGTCCTGTACAGAATTGTCAGAACATTAGAAAGAGATCTGCCGTGTACTGTGCCACCCACAGAATGCGAGTCAGACCATCTGAGACACTTGCTCATCAGTGAGCACTGCAGCACTACTCACAGTAGCTAAGCTATGCAACCAGCCTAGGTGTCCAACATCAGACAGGAAATAGAGATAGGGATAAGAAAACGGCACACTCACTGGACTTTCCTCAGCTATAAAAAATAAGCGAAGAAACATGCAGCTGGAGACAATACCTTGAATTAAGCCAATCTCAGAAGACAGGTATCATATGTTTTTCTCGTTTGTGGTTCCTAAATTCATATAGTCATATAAAATGAGGTACACAGACTATAAAATAGTAGTGAAGGGGATGGAAGGAGATTGATGGGAGAAAGGGAGGAGGAGGAGGTGTGCTCAACACACAATGTTTATCTGTTCATTTTAAAGGCAATTCAGCAGGCCCAGACTAAGTGAACATGACAGCTTTATAAGGGAGTTTTACTTTTATCTGGGGAGACCTCCAGTGGACCTCCTATGGCTTCAGCTTTCAGTTTCTGTAACAGAAAAAATTTCTTTCTAAACTTG